AGTCATCCAAAACGTCGGGCCGTAGTTAAAATAATTTTCAAATAAGTTTAACTAGTATATATCGCGTTTTAAATCGTTAAAGCACATTTAAAAAAATATGGTTAGGAAATAGTTATTGTTAACATTATATATTTTTTTCTACTTAAATAAATACCCGTTTTATCACTTACACGGACGCTTTACGAGCCACGACGAATAATTGCGGAAATGTTAATTTTTTGTTTTGAAAAACAGATTTTAACAATAATGCAAAATAACAGTAAATACAAAAAACATAAAATAACTGTTTGCTGGTAAAGCAAATCTAAGAATAACTCATATAAATGTGTCTCCCTATGTTTCAATACGAAAAATTGTATGTGAAGTTTCTTCTAGGAATGTAGAATGTATAACTACATAAAATGTACATTGTGCCCACAATAACACATGATTTACAAACAGTCTACCGAAACGAGAAAACACACTGGTAGAAGGCAGTGACCTCCATCCTCTCATGGCCAAATTATCTTGATATCTCCCACCAATCCATTGTTCGGGGCATTGCAAAAAGCGACTGCGAAATTTAGCAAAGAGATTATTTAATTTTAAATTTTATTCGCTTAATTGTACACCTTTCTAATCGTGTTTAGCAAGTGTTTAATTGGTTTAGTGGCGCTTCTATTACAAGACTCGTTTATCTTGTTGCATTTTAATGAACTATTATTTATTGAGTATAAGTGAAAATATTTCTTATATACTTTCCTATAGATAGTTGGTAACAAAGTCTACATTACGATTAAGAGAGCGGTAGTTCAATTCCTGGCTGTGTACAAAAGTATTTTTATTAATAGTTTAGATATGTGTCCCTATTTGAGAAAATAATGGTATATGTTTGTAGTTTAAATATCAACTGCGCCGGAACAGATGGCGCTAGCGTAGCAGTTTTTACTTTGATATTAGAGACACCCTCCATATTAGTTTTCCCTTACCGAAAATACGGGTCGTATTAAAAAAAAAACAAAAAAATTAAACTAATATATTTCGCGTTTTTAACTGTTAAAGTGTTTAATTTAAATTATCGTACATAGTCTGAACTTGACATGAATTATTTGCTTTTCATTTACTGTAAAAATGGACAGGTGTTAATTGTTTTTCCCATCCTTATTTAAACAGAGTTAGCTTTTTTTAAGAGTTATACAAGTCGATACCACTATTAAAGCTTAATTATGTTCATCGTTAGCACGAACCGTTTGACCAGAATCAAAAGCTTACCGAAACGTGGCCACAACGGAATTTTGTGTCGTTTCAAAAGTAGAACGCTAATTTACCTAAATATATCTAAGACTAAAATTAATTGTATAAACACGGTTACGACGTTATTCCATTTTTCTCGTGATGCAATAAACGAGAGCAGACAAGCAGTAAGGAAAATAAAATCGCTGGCAAAAGGCCATTGTTTGATTTTTTTAAGCCTGACGGTCTGATATGCTTAGTCTACTGTGTCCGGTCAAATATACCATTGTGAGTTGGTTTTTACTTTGATAAGCATTGCTAGAGATTATGAATTCATTGATATTTATATTCTTGTGCATATGAAAAAAAGGACGGCCTTACAACGATACAATAGTAATGTATTGCTCAACGGGTTGTGGATTCTATTCCCATCTCGTCTCAAAAATTTCTAATCAATTTATAATTTTCCTAACACATGTAGCACTTCGTCTGGATGTCTGGATTTTAAACGACCATCTACGGATGAAAAAGTCGTGATGTTTAATCACGTTTCGATTTTAGTTGTAGCATGTTCGAATTTCCAAGGCCAAAATAAGTCGACAGTCTTGTCAAAATGGCTGGGGTAAGCATAGGGTTCTATTAATGAAAAGGGAAATTTCCATGGTAGACCCTATGCTTCTCTGACTACTTCTATTGCAAAAAAAAGTCGCATAGCGACTGTATAATACGGAAACTCTGCTGTACCGCCAGCAAGATAGTTATATTGGAATCGGAGGGATCGACTTTCTCTGCGAGATACAGATATCTCTAACTCCAAGATTACATTATATATGAAATTAAATTCAAATACCGATCTTCGCGTAACAATCAAGCCTAGAGCTTTCATTATTTTCAGTAACTAATCATTGAACAATCCACAAAGTAATGTGTTATTTTCAGTAAACTTTTTCTTAACGAAGATTTGAATCGAATGTTCCATAATTATTTAATCATTATAACATTTATCAGCTACTCAAGATTTTACCACCTGACAAATAGAACTTATTTAACGGACACTATCCTGTTAAGTTAAGTGATCCTTGACATGACCACTTTAGTATATGTATGTGTACATTGCGTCACATGTACCAGTAATTACTACCTCAATTATGTTTTGCATTTTAGAATTGAGGACACAACACTTACTCAACATGATATGTACAGAATTAGTAAGTGGTCATTAATACATTAATAATAATTGTTCTAGCGACCATATCAACAAGATCTATATTATGTTTCTTAAGGAGATGCCTTTTTTTAATATATAAATAAAAATATGTGCCCTAGATTAAATTTATACCACTGACGTCGGGCCATATTACTTAATCTATTTTTTAATAAATTCAAAATAGGTTAACTGATATTTAAACCCGACAGTTAACCTATTTGAAGTTACAGATACAAGTGTTTTAATTTAATGTGCACTAGTCACGTAAACTATATACAACAATATTCTAATATATAAAAGATAGAAAGAAAGAAAATGTACAGGCAAAGCACAAGTTGACTTTCGCACGAAGGTGCACAACTTTTAAAAGATAAGTAACCCTTTTTAGTTATATCAAGAGCGTACTTGGTATAAATAATTGTAACCTTTTTTTGACAGAGGAGGACAGACAAGCATGGGGTATTCTGGCTTTGAACATTCTTAAATCCACAGACTAAAACCTAAATGAATAAAATTCACGACTTTTTCATGGGTGGACGTGACCCGGACGGAAGTTCGACATTCCTACCACTCACCTTGGAAATATACTAGGCAAACGTGGCATCAAAGATCTAAATATAGGTACGAAAGTTCTGTACTTCGAATTTACTCGAGTTCCTTTATGCGAATAAATTGGAGAAATGAACCAATATAGTGTGTCCGCCCACAACGTCTGCCTCCGAGCGGAATGCGATGCATAGTCCCTCGTTGCTTGTTCCAGTCGTTATAAAATAGCAATTACACCTGTTTCCTTTTCAAACTTCATTTAAATAAACATCCTCTTATCTGCATTAAGCTACAATAGTTCCTAGAATAATATATTTTAATTTTTAATATTACTTCCTGTATTCATTTGCTTAAAGTAGCAAAAAAAATCTTGAGTGATGTCTGTTGTTTATGTTGTAATAGACACTTTAACGGTTCAGAACATGCATTTTTATCGTTAATTTTTAGTTATAAATTGTTTAAGACTAGCACCAGAGGTTAGCTTTCAGAAGCCATAGTTTGATTATTTTTAGCAAAATTAAATTAGTATTGTTGAATAAATAAAGTAATTAAATCAAAATAAAAAAAAGTGCTTACCTAATTTAAAACACTAAAAACTTAATTTTTAGGTTTGAATTAAGTAGACAAAAAACTAAGTATTTATTACTGAAATTTACAAATCTTTAAATATAACGCGTCAATAAGTGTTTTAACAAAAGAACTCCCTTGATTTTTTTACTTCCCTTGACCGTCACCTTTGTTTGACATTGATATCCCAGTCAGCCAATTAGGCTTAACGCCAACGCAACGAGACTAACTAACTAGCTTAGCAACCAATAGCGTAGCACAACGCCATTATATTGTAAATATTTTGCAATATAGACTCATTAGACGCAAAGACTTTAAATATTACAGCACTTTAGAGAAATGATCCTAACGTATACCAATCTGTAATATATATTGACAGATAGATATAGATGGGATGGAGATATAGATAAAGTTAAATGTTGATTTTCTGTGTGTGGCGTGGGGTAGAAACATTTAAGAGTCTGTTTCTTCGAACAAGTAGGTATATACATGGACAAGCCGTTGAACAGTCTGTATGCTGCTCGACCAAGACAATTTATTGTCTGTCTCTGGACTTCAAACCCTCGACTATCAGCTTAACCGGCGTTAAATAAAATTATAACGAGATACAAGTATCAAATTAAAAAAGCTTTTAAGTTAAACGGTTTTATTTTTTGTGTGCAGTGAAAACTACAAAAAAAGTAACATAATCATCTTGTTTTACTAGCTTAGCCCTTTTATTTGATACCCATATTAACCCCCTTAGGATTAAGAAAAAATCCACCATTTTGTTTCGGCGGCCATCTTGGATTTATATTGTTATTGATTTAATTGTATTCTATTGTCATCTAAATGTGTGTACCAAATTTCAGATCAATCTGACAACGGAAGGGTACTTAAATTTCAATTTCAAATTTTGTCCCAAATAAATAAATTCCGTACGGGTCGAGCTAAATAATACTCATCCATGAATTTCATAAGGGTTTATTAAGTCACCACACTATTGCTGTCATGTGTGGGTTGACAGATGACAACATCGGACATTTTAGTTCTTTGCATTCCGGTTTCATACTTCGGTATTCGTTCTTGTAATGGCTCTTTTTTAAATAAAACACTTTTACGGTTTAAAATGCACATAAATAAGTTAAAGGTTTGAACACATTGACGACATTATGGATGCTTTACAAATTTTCGCATTTGAAACGGTTAAAAGCATTTTATTTAAATTGGTACTGCTCGCGTAAACGACAAACAATACAAAACTAAGAAATAATAAAAACATAGGAATATATAACAATTTCATGTATCAAGTTTTTTCCATACCTCTATTATTGCTTTTTTTTGTCTTACTAAATTTGATTCAGTATATCATCGCAATCGATAACGAGGCTTATCAACATACCTGTTCGTAGGATGTGAATCATCGAGCTAAGTTCGATTTAACTAATAAAAACAATCGAGGGGCCGTCCATAGTCATTCGCATGTATCATGAGTGAGTCAGGCTTGCGTCACTAAGTTTCCTAACTTGTCTGGCACAGAGAAACACACTGTCTTCGCATCGTGCGACGATTGTTGACCTCTAAGTGTTTAGACAAATAGATTATGACGAGTTTTTCGGTGTAATGGTAGCCATGTATGCTAAAATCCGTCGTGTTGTCGTTTTCGTCCTACGGGGTCCACATTTTTCTAATTAAATTATAATTTTCTTGGCAGTTGTTGGATTTCTTTGGGAAATCTGCATATTAAATGGGTGTTAGGAATATCGACATTCTGTCCGGATCACGAACTACCTACCGTCTACAGATAAACGAGGTGTTAAATAATAAGTTTAATCTTCGGTTTCAGTTTGTGCATTTCCGTATATTCAAAGCCAACATAGGACGACAGCGTATCTTGCTTAAATGTTATGTCCAGCCACATAACATGTATTTCACCTACCATCAAGTCAACCTTGTCTGTCCTCAATCATAAAGATATCAAGATCAAAAATGATGGTCAGCACTAAATATATAAGCCTTAAAAACATTCATATGTATTCTACATAGGGGAAAAAAAAAAAAAAAAAAAAAAAAAAAAAAAAAAAAACCCCCCCCGCGGGGGGGGCGCCCCCCCCCCCCCCCCCCCCCCCCGGGGGGCCCCCCCCCCCCGGGGCCCCCCCCCCCCCCCCCCCCCCCCCTTTTTTCCCCCCAAAAAAAAAACCCCCCCCCCCCCGGGGGGGAATTCCCCCCCCCCCCCCCCCGGGCGAAAGGGGGGGGGTTCTTGCTCGGGGGGGGAAAAAAACCCGGGGGGGGGAAAAAAAAAAAGAAAAAAGGGGGAAAAAAAAAAAATTTTTCCCAAGGGGGAAAAAAAGGGGGGAAATTTTTTTAATTTATTTTTGATTTTTAAATTAAATAAGCCTTAATTGAAAGCAATGGTTGTTTCCTTGATTTTGATTAAACTCCTTTTACGGTTTAAAACGCGAAATGTGTTAGTTAACTTACGCGATACCGCCGTGACTACTATAAAGGATCCGAATCGTCGGGTCGTAGTTAAAATAATTTGTAGACAAATTTTCTTATACATTCCGAGTTTTAATAAATGTTTTATTTAAAAATTGACATATATAATCGATATCGCTATCATATGACTTCACTCCCAAACTAGGTGTAATTTTAAAAAATACCTAACAAACTCCCTATATTAGACGAATTATGAGCGTAAAAATATATGGTTCTATAAAATTTCTACATAACGTAGTTTATATAAAATAATATATAATTTCTACAAAAATAATTCCGGTTATTAAAAAAAACCTGTCTTTTAACTCTGATCACTAATCTAATTTCTTAATACTACCCACAGATAGCTAACAAATAAAATCATCGAAATACATCAGCGTGTTTGTGTAGCATTTTCCTCTGTGGATGAGGGTCAGGTTTCCTTATAGGGTCAGTCGTGTCCACCCACGTTCCTACCTCTAAAGGGACACTGCGTTTCGTATCTAGCCTTATACAAATTCTCGAATTCTGTTTTACGAACACATGCAGTGAAGATAAAGTATTGTTTAAAACGAACGTTACGAATTAATAATTTCTAACTAGCTTTTTGCTTATATAGAATATTGTAGCTTCTGTATTCTATAAATTAATCGTTATTATTATATCTATGTCTCGGCTTGTGTAGAGATATATAGATGGCGCATATTAAAATCAGATATTCTTATATCTCCTTAATAATATTTCAATGGGCTAGTTTAAACCTTTATGGGTTTAAACTAGCCCATTGAATTGTAGTTTGGATAAAATAAAGTGGGTAGTAGCTTCGTAAGGTCGTGAAGGACAAACAAACAATATTTGCCTTTTGTATTACTTATATATCCGGTTAATTTAAAAATAATAGGATTAATACGCGAAATTGTAACGAAATGACTATCTTGTGTACTAAACACTTTACAGTACTTTAGAATACAAAATCTATACCGTTATAAAATGTGCCATGCTTTTGTATTGCTATGAAAAACTAAGAAGGCAATTTTTTTCTTTTTAAAATGCCTTTAGTGTTCAGCTTTTATTTAAAGTTAAATGCTACTTCCAGGTATAACAAAATCTGAGTGCTGTCCCTCCACATACATTTATTTAATTTGATTCGATATTGATTGATTGATGATTTTTTAAAATGTTAATTTTATGATGGTGGTGTTCCAGGGCCACCGCCGCGGTTGGGGCTGAAGGCCGGCAGCCCTGGCGTCGCAGGCGTGGACGAGGACTGCAACAGCAACCCCAGCCTCGCTGGCAGCCAGAACTCCACACACGATGACCTCGACGGGCACTGCGATAACTCCGGCTACCTCTGGTTTCTCGATTATAAGTAAGTTTTAACATACATGTTCATTGTGTGTTCCTGACACAACAAATAAAATATTCCTTACATTCTGATTAAATTGCAGACAAGATTCTTGTACTGAAAATAAGGCCGTTACCGTTATTACCGTTAAAGCAAACTTTTAAGTTCATACGTAAGACCTTAAACTGTTAAATTAATTTCCAAATACATCAAATTTTGAATAATGCTCAACACACAAGCACCGACTTGTAGTTTTAAATTGTTTATCAACCATAGATATTGTATATATATGTAGTAATAATAGAATATAATCATAATTAAATCATTTATTCCACATACAATTATACAAAAATATAAAAATTACTATTAAATTGGATGTATGTGGAGGGCCACAACTCAACTTTTGTTAAACCTGTAAGTAGGCACAACATCGATTTTCAGGGATGCCCCACGTATAAACATACACAAATTTAGATGAACAATAAAACCAATACATAAAATAAAATTTTCAAAATAAGAATAAATACGAACTACCTGTCGTCTAAATAAACAATACATACATAGTTGTAATACATCCGCAGTATATAAACCTACAATGCTCGATTTCAGAATAGCACAATAGCTACTCATTTGGGTTATTGTACGGCGATGATTGATGCGAGAACATTATTGTACGTCATCGTCACTTTGTGCTTGCTTCGCGATCTATTTAGCAATAATATGACTCTGTTTACGGTTAATTTGCGCAAATTTTCAAAGTAATGATTCATCACGAAATTTTACATTAGAATTCTCTTTAAACTTTGTTTAAAATGCCTTAGTGCTGATACTGGTTTTTTTTCGTTACACTACGTGATGGCTTAAAATGAATGATTTGAATTTTGAAATTCTAAGTAATTATTTTACTAGAAAGAGAAGTAAATTTTATACATGAGGATAATTTAAGAACCAACGACACGTACCCGCCTTATTGTTCCTGACACCAATTTAATAAAATGTTTAAAGATTATTTGCTGCTATATTGAAAATAACAGTTTGTTTAAATACAACAATTTGAACAGTTTAAAACTTGAAATGTATAAGTTAACTTATTTACAATCTATTTTAACTACTGCCCGATGTTTTGAGGTGATTAGCAGCTGTGGTCACGGGATCACTCCCCGACTCCTTAATGGTCCCCCCATGACCATAGCTTCTGTAAGTAAGTTAAAATAAATTTACCAATGTATGTCGTGTAAGAAAAAAATCACTATTGTGTACAACCAATAGTGTTTTTTATGTGTCCTTGCTACTCGCGTAAACAAGAGAGTTGCATTATTAAGTAAAATATATATTCAATCTATCTCTTTCTCTTTCCAGTCCGATATTTCGAGACGGCTCCTGCCACCACACCTCAGTACTGTCCTCGGTGTCAGCCTCATACAAGGGAATTGGCGATCTTACGTCCCGGTTCGAATTCACCTCACGATACAACGACCTAGCGAGAGACCTAGATGCGAACCTAGCTGAAGCGGACATAGAGAGTTTTAAAACTGAAGATATCCACGCCCTCCTCATGACCGCTAACTTGCCGCATGACACCATCCTTGATGATAGAGCGAATGATGTAAGTATATAATATGAATCCACTTCATACAATATAGTGCCACGCACGTTTATCGAGAGTGTTTACGAAACAAAATGATTTTCGATTTGGTTTGATTTAAATACTGTATACACTAGTAATTTTTAACAAAAAAAAATGAATGTAGAACTTTTACGTGACACAACAAGACTCGCCCAGGGGACACACGATAAGAAAATAAACGACGATCAATCACAAACGCATGTATTTGTTTAAAAACTCATTTGCTACCAGTTCGAGTCCTGTTTGCGTCATATATTTTTCAATATCACCCCGGAATCTTTATTGTATGTACGCATTGACCTGTAAAAGCAATTGCAACATTATCTGCAGTATTCGCGAGTGAACATTTACATGAAACACTTTTAACGGTTTAAAACGCAGCGGAAACGATGAGTAGTAGTTAAAAAATTAGTTGACTAATATATATCGTGTTGTATACCGTTAAAACTGTTTTCTGTTAACATTTACTATAATGACACTCCCTCTATCTTTGGTACTGGATATCGCATAACACATTTTTTTTATGTAGTTATAGACACTGACTAACTTGTAATAGCTAAGTATCAGTAAACATGCAGCTTTAGTTAATATAGACACGTCTAAATATCTCTACCTTAATGGTCAGGTGAGGAAATATTTCGCATACTTTAACAGTACCATGTTTTCACATTTTCACTTCGCTTCGAATATACTGGTCTTCCTTGCGTAAGTGAACTGTGTTCTGCATAGTATATGCATATACATTTTATTTTTCGATCTACACATATACGCTATGATTACTACCTACAAGCAAACTTTTTTTTTATTGAAGAGGACAAGCATGGGATCCACTTGATGGAAGGTGAAATATCCAGACATATAATTTCAACAAGATTGTGTTTTGACTTTGGATATTCGGAAGTCCGCAGACTGACGCGTATAAACAACACGGATTTATCATCTGTGGACGGTGATTCCAACAAACCCACGGCCGCTTGATTATTAGCCTTATAATACTATCATAGGAACAACAAGCCTATAATTTTACTTGTGATAGAAAACATTTTACTAAGGATATTAACCTTTTTTTCGCCTAGTCACATTTTCTTGGGACGTTTCCTAAGATATATCTAAAAATATGTAGGCTTACCAATTTAAATTGATAACAGCAATAAAAATCCAAGTAAAAATAAAAACATAGGTAATATCAGGGAACGTGGCTTGTATATAGACAAGTAAAACGGATGAACAACATTCTAACTTAGACCAATCCCACCCATACATAGTTGCATATTTACCTACTTTAGTATCTTAAATGTATTACTAATGGTGTCTACTTATAAACTTAGTTTAGTGTCATTATCTTTTCTGCCTGACACATTAATTATGCTATAAACATATTTTATGAGATTCTTCTGATTTAAACATCTATTTGCATTTAATAGACTTTCTAATAATGAAATTAAAAATATCCATTTAAGTTATCTATTTTAAAATTTACTTCCTATGGAAACCTATATAGTAAGTTTTATAACCATCTGGTAACCTATTTAGTCAATTTTGCGAAATGCGAAATGCAACTGTTTACATTAAGTACTTAATTAAAATGGATATTGTTTAATTCGCTAAATAAACCTTGTCAGTCATATAAATTCGTTCAGCTTACAACATCGGGCCTTATATGGTACTATTTTCTTGTATCACTCGAAGGTAAGACGAGAATTTACATAAAAGAACCTTAACTACACGACACCTAATAAATAAAGCGTACAATTTTAAAACAGGACATACTGTTACATAATTTTAATACAATACGGGTCAAAAACTTTGTCCGTATGAGGCAAAGACTTGAGATTGAGATATCTGACATATACATGTACATATATGCATTATAGGGATACTTACTTAAACCATACCTTATAATCAAATCTTTGTCTAGGTACAAATGTTATGAACTTTTTTACCATCTGAAACTGAATTAACATCTTAAGTTATTAAAAACAACTTTTAAATATTTTGAAAATATAATGTATTTATACTGGATCTAAGATTTCCTTAGTCTTGCTGTCTATTCATAGTACACTTGACTACCTACGAAGGATGGCTACTTAGGGTAAAGAAAACACAACAGAATTATGTTCTTCCTATCTCCCAACACTAACTTATAAAAACTATACTTACACACTACTATTATCTGATCTGTGGAGAAATAACTTGTCATTGAACATTTTATAGCCTTACAAATATCTGGGTTCATACAATGGTGTATTGCAGAGTAACCCTCATGGCGAAATGTTCGCGAGCATCCCGAGCTCGCTGATGGAAAAGTTTTGTTTCGACACTTCCATCAGTGGCAACAGTAGTTTTCAGGTTCGCCATATCATATCAGTGTTTGATGTTAACATCCATAATTCATTTCATCTGGCACAATCTCACTATTCCTTCGTACAGCGCCATCTAGTTTAGAACGCTGGTAATAGGCATGGTTCAAGTTTCTGGCAATAGGTGGCACTAATGTACGATACATCGCAAAATTCTATTTTAAATTGTTAAATAAATTGTGTTTATATTAAACAAAATTTACTATTTACTTAAATTCGCAGGTAATTTTATTTGAAATCTAAATAGATTTTTATTAGCTTCTGCTTTATCAAATATAATAAAGAATGGCTTACAAAGCTTTATAAAACTCAATTGACCAATCTATACTTAGGTGACAGTAATATAATATGCTCCTAGTATCTCAAATATTATGTCATTACACGCCGCCATTACCCTGCAGCAATCTATCCGTGTTTATTATTAGAATAGTCTCACGAGGAGTCATAGCCAGAGCCCACATACAAATAGGTGAAAAGTCTGAAGTACTTGGCGCGCATTCATAGAGAGACTTCCTACACAGCTGCCCCATAGTACGTTGGTCCCACGGGATGTTCGAATTGTAACGATAAAATAAGACTTCTTTTAATGTGTGTGTAACTCGTTCACACTGAATTGCGTCAATCATATCAACCACAAGCTTCTTCCACAGCTCATACCTCCCCCTCGCAGCATGTTTGTGTGAGTGTGCTATATCTGCTGTCCTATGTGTGCTATCGTTAACATACGACAGCCATGTGTGTGCTACCAATAAAGTCTGACCAATTGTCACTTGTTCTCAAACTGTGTACAGTAAAAACAAAAATTCTTTATTATATTTCCGTATACATGTTGCAGATAGAGAGTCCCTAGTCCCCACACAAGGGCAAGCCTGTATCGTAGGTGACTAATCTCTTCCATGTTACAAACAATAAATATCTTAAAGCTAACTTATTTACAATTAAATACTGTCTGTAGTTTGCGCGATTAGTATACTTTGAAATAAAACACTGTAACGGTTTAAAACGCGATATAAATTAGTTACTATTTGAAAATTATTTTAACTACGGCCCGACGTTTCGGATGCTTTGCAGCAGCCGTGGTCACGGGAAGACGCACACATTCTCGTGTCTACGGGGGGTACAATCAGTGTCTTTTATGATACACGCTAGAATGAGTGGATATTTGTTATGCATGTGAATGTTGGTTGATAGATATGTAACAGGGAGGAACATCGTTTTACAATTTCAAACGATATTTTATAAATTAATTTTTGTGATCGATCACTAATATTGTTATTAATATAATTATATCGTTATTTTTTGAATCAAAACGTAAACATAATTAGTTAATTAGCTCACAAACGCATTAATTTACTTATCTTATAAATTCCTAAACGCACAATGTATACTCTTAAAGTCGTAATACACAACGAAGCGTTAAATACAACGTAGCACAGTACAAAGTTTGAGAAGATCAAGCGGTGGCTAATATTAAAATTAATATGCCCGCTGTCCCAGTAGCGCCCCGGGCTTTCAGTAGAGCTGTACCGTGTTCGAACCTACGATGTATATAAGTCATTGTTTATCTTATGAGGTCACTTCGGGGACAATAAGAGACCTTTTGAACGACTGTGTTTGCGTAAGATAAGTTTTAGTGAAAAAGTGCATTTGAAGACAATTTTTACTTACTAAAGACGTGAAAACTATTTGTGTGTGGTCGTTTATTTTAGTGTGTGTTCTCATTAATTGTACCATGGGTGTGACAGAGTTTGATTGGGACTCCTGCAATGGAGGATATTATTCAGTAAGTCATGTGCTAGTTGAATTTTAGCCGGAACTTACATTTAGCGTTCGTGAAGATTGTAGGTAGATGATAGTTATCAACAAAAAATTATAAATCCTAGACAACCGTCTGATATTGAACGAATTACATTAAAATATTTAATGTCATAATTGGAAAAAAAAAACTGTATTTATTATAAGTACTTAAGATATTTTTAATGAGCTAAAATATCATTAATAAAGACAAAATTAGGACTTTGGTAGATTTTCGATGATAATTTATTATTAAATAAATAACAGATTTAACGCATCGCAACGATTACCCGACGACCTTTGATTCCGATAACGATAACATTAAGTAAAATATTTCTACCCTAAAAATTTTGGTACTTAACTTTATTTACTCAACGTGATAGTGAGACGTATCTAAATGCTCGTTTAATATTTGTTCCCTAGCTCTATGACTGGCTTGTTTGATTTGTGACCTCATTTGTAGCAGGAAAGGGAATTAAATTGATAACGCCGCCCGCACAGTCATGTACTTGTGTCGTGCAATAAAAACCGATCCTCTACACAAAGCAATACTTGTTTTCATTTCTCAAAAGCTGTGGCTTTCAAAGGCGTTCCTGGGCATTTTATTTACATTTCAAATTACCTTACACCCAATTCTAAACGAATTTAGAACGCAACCAATGTTTATGTTCTAGCAAACACGTTTCGTAATCTTCCGGGAATCATTTTGAGTGCACGATGCAATAAGACTCCGCTTATAAGAGTGCTCTCAGCTAACACATTAAAGATGATTGATGTTACGGGTGATTCGATTTTATGATCGACACTTTCTTTTAACAGGGCGAAGAATCTGTCGGCTCAATCAATACTATGTCAATATGCAAGTCGGAATTACTGTTTTCACCAGTAAAGGAGGCGGCGCACGGCGTCCATTTCAGTGTTGATAGTCTAGACTGTGAACTACCTACAGAACAAGATCTAATTCTTACATGTCAAGCCAACAAGAACAACTACACAATCGCTTTTGAGGGAAGTCTCACCATTTACTCAGAGGACAGTGAGTGTGCTGAACCCGCCGTCAATCAAAAACATGGTTAGTGTATTTTTTATCATACAAGTTTATTTTATAATACCAACGTTCATAAGTTAAGCTTCAAAGAAAAACTTATTTTATCTCTCTTTAAGACATATGTATTTATTAATATTCTACTGTATGAACTTCTACTTGATCACAAAATTGGTTTAATACATACTATGATAAGCAACTAACCCACTATATACAAACATTTGTTCACAGACAAACTGGATAAAGATATGAAAATAATATTAGATAGTGATGAAAGAACGCGCAGGAATTTAGAATTACTAGAAAGATGTAAGAAATTAACAAATAAACTAACCTCGTCTATGGCTAGAAGCGATTTAGGTTTAACTACGTGGAGTAAGCTTAAGAAACAAAACAGCCAATTACCTTTGCAAAGGTTTGTAATCATTTTTTTTTCTCATGTTCTATTTTCAAAATCTACAGTTGTTTAATAATATTAACATTTCAGACATCCATCTGGTAATAACAATGAGAACTCGAATGAAAACTCAAATGTCACAAATGAAATGAACAACTCCGTTATAAAAAGTCAAAGTTTACCTAACTTATATAGAAGGAAACTTATGAGCAGCTCCATAAATTCGGCTGCCTTAAGCAATTCAACAGTACGTATCTGCTGAATGCGTTAATTAAAAATTATCGTAACACGTTACTGGCTCATTGTGTTTAATAATCACTATTCGTTTTTAGGTCGACTCCTTCACTGCAAACCAAAGGTTACACAGTACTCCAATATGTATGAAAGTTTATGATGTCTCTCAGAATCGCTCTCAAGGAAGTCAGCACTCAGAACCCATGAGCACATCGTCTACTGATCACACTTCTACAGATAAAAGCCAAACAAAGCAGCAATCTTTTAATTTAGTAAAACTATTTATGAAACAGAAGAGCGATAGCAATGAGGGTATTGTCACAATGGATCAACTAGATCGATCAGAATGCTGGCCAAGCTCGGGAGGGGAAAGCGGGGAGTCTTTAGGAGAGCACAAAACTGAAGATTGTAAATTGATATCCGAGAGACCTCAAGCTGAGCTACCGAGTGAAGCTACAGAAGATACATCCTCCTTATTTTATGAGGAGATACGTACTAATCCATTTAATCGAGTGTACGATGAAGTTTTGATTGAGGAGGAAGAATCAGATGGCGCTAAGCTCAGTGATAGTGAACATAATCTTTATGCTGTAGTAAATAAGCCGCGCATAAGGAGAACTAATACAAATTTAGTAAACAGTCCATCTAGAGTGCGAAGTAATAGAAAGTCTTGTTCTTCACATTCGTCGGCCACGAGCGTTAGTATATCAAGTTGCTCGGAATCAGATGGTACCCAAATAACCAAAATGAATAAAATTATACACCGTGAGCCTTGCGATACTAAGGCGACATCTACAAATTTTGAGACAAGCACCGAAGATAAAAGTATGCAAACGTCAACTTTACAAACGAGTGTTTCTCACGAAAGAGAATTATTCAAAGTTGTCGAAGCTTCCTTCCTTGAAAAATTGAAAGAAGGCGATTGTGAAAAACCTGTTTTTGTCCTGTACCCTAACTATACTTTACCAGATATTAGCTTTTTGAATGGAAGACCAAATATTTATTTAAGTCCATTGAAAATTAACACGCCAAAGACAGTGGACAGTAAAAGAGGTAGAGCGCAAATTAAAGGCAAGCGCCCATTTTCGTGCAATGATGTAGAAATGTTAAAGAAAAAGGGTTTGGGACACATTAAAGACTGGGATTCACTGAACTTTTTATTGCCTTTAGAGTGTAGACAACTATTATCTGAAGTGCCAGAATTAATGCAACATATAAAAGAGAAGGAAATTGTTCCAAAGTGTACCGACAAATATTGTGGTGCTTCACCATCCTCAAGACTAAAAAATAGGCCAATGAGCTGCGATTGTAATAACTTAAACACCACAAATACAACAGCTGTATCATCTAGCTCGAGTACTGCTACACAACCTTCATCGGGTTATCGAGGATCATCTACAATGCTCACTGATTCATCGGCCCAAAATAGCCCCGCACCTGCGGGCAACTTTAACCCTCTATTTGTCTATCGCTACGACAGTGCAACTAGTTCAGAGGCCAGTGGTCTTCATAATGATTCTCAACGTGCTAATCCAACTATACCAAAACGATCTCTATCTTTAGCTGAACAACACCGTCTGGCAAAACAAGGAGAACCCGTACCTCCGAGACCGCCTTTACCGAAAAGCATTTTGCGAAAATCTTTGGATAAAACAAAAAAATCCAATACGCACACAAAACGTTACAGCATGTTTGAAATGGACGACCTCATACAAGACCCCTTAGTTTGCGGCACTGGAGCTGTAGAACAAAAAACGAAGAGACGATCTCTACAAGAGCCTTACTATCTGCAAAATCAAAATATAGATTACAGAAAAAATAACGACCTGGCTGCAAAGAGATTGTCACAACAGTTTTTAGATGCAGCAGAAAAAGATATAGACTACAACGAATACTATCAAGATGAAGGCGTCGGTACTGAAAGTAGCCTAGAATCTGGCAAATCGAATGAACTCAAATACCACCGACCACACACTCCACCAATGCCCAAGCCAAGAACGAAGAAGATGGAGTACATAGAATTTCCACCTCCCAGTGCGCTTATCAGTAGTGCAGACTTACAGCAACTCGAGGAATTCTTGAAACTAAGCGGTTTTAATTGCCAGAACATGGATGAATGGGATCAAAATCAAGTGCAAAAGGTAAGAAGTCAGGTTACCAAGTTCCTCCAGATGAAGCGTTCTCAAGAAGAGAATCAGAGGTCGACAGATTCTAGCGCCAGCAGTTGTAATAGCAAAAAGTCTGTAAGTTTTGCACAGAAGTCGGAAATGAAAAGTGACATTCCGCAGTCAAAGGCAGTGGACGACCTCAAGGTAGTTAGCCTCGTCACTCCGCCTAACTCGCCTAACATTTCAGCCGTGGTAGCACAAAGACATTATCAGGTAAATCCATATCGCTTTTTCATCCTCTCTGCACGGCAATTCCTGCTATGTTCAGTAAGTATTTTGTTCTCTTTAATTTATTACCTCGGCTTACCCTTAATTTGTGTTGCGATTCTTGAGCATTTTTCAACTTTTACTTTGCGAATGTTTATTTTTCGCATTCACATGTTACTAGCTCATCCATGACGAATTCCATTCAGCCCTTAGTCATTTCGGGTGAATATGTTTTGCGCGGGAGACACACAAAATTCGATAATCGTTGTAAAATTAATTTTAGGGCAAAAACTTAGCGGAAATGCCAATCTGTGAAGAAGCGGAAGTAAGCCCTGATGAGTTTGGTAGTCCCACGCGCCATGAAGGAAGAGTCAAATTCGATATGATTGATGTGTCTCAAAAACGAGGTAAATGCATATATGTGTCACATAATAGCGATTAATATTTTAATAATATATTTTCATTGTAATAAAACGAACATATATATAATCAATGAAATGTTGAATGTGAAGCGTCAGGTCATACTGAACACATAAGTTTGCAAAATAAATCCTTAAAAAAGTTGTATTCACTTTAAATATTTAATTTTTAGCTCTTGTCTCAAATGTAACTGATGCTGTTGAAATGTTAATACAACACTTCTCCTCTGCCACGGATCAAACTGAACTCGCTTTCCTTGGCGACTCAAAACAATCGCCAGCTTGCGCAAAAATTGCCTTAAACGCATTGTGTCCCGCACTTTACGCAATATTCAGGGACGGTTTAAAAGAAAACATCGAAACCTCATTTGGTGCGGTCAATAACTCAGTTTGGCAAATGGTCGAATCGACAGCAAGGCAAGGTAAATTAAGAAAAAAATTAAATATCAATAGATTGATTTAAGCATTTACTAATTTATAGAAGGATTTCACTGAATTAACTGAATACTTTTAGGCCCCATCACAAAATCGTTAAACGAACTAGTACTAAGAATAAACAGCGAAGATGCAGTAACGGAAGGATTGGTCAAATTCAACGCATTCATTTTAGGTCTATTAAAGTAAGTAAATTAAACGACACTTCTATGCTTGTTTAATATAAAGTTAAACATTTTGTTTGTTTGAACGAACAAGGACTGTCTAAATTAAAAACAAGGATTAACTAAAAGGCGCGTAAAAATAGCGGAAATGTAGGGGAAAATTATTCGTCTTTGTAGGTTTCCGAATGATTATTGATAAATAATTATTCCTCTTTAAAGCATTTAAAAATCTTCGCGACACTATAAGTATGCCTATCTTATCTTATTTTAAGACTAAGTTACTAGAATGACAAGACACAACCGTCGTCCTGGGTAATAGGTAAAATGTATAAAGATGAAGAGGAGATTTGCAAAAACTAATTTCGATGCCCAAAACAGCGACAAAGTTGAAGTAACTAAATAGTTCTGTTTATTTTTTCAGTGCACAGTCCGTAGACGCATGGGTAACGTATGTGAGAACTCGGGAATCTATATTGGCGAAACACTATGATCCCGATTCCCTCATACTTGCCGGTTGCGTTGGCGAACCCCGCTGCAGAGCACTATTGGATACTTTGTTGGCCAGTCTTGAGCCACTGCGTCTTCTACCTTTTTCTTTGGACCTCATGTTCGAAATGCGTGAACTGCACAGAAGCTTCAAGCGCATCGAAAACGATATGAGGGCAGCGAGCCGGGTAAGCGAAATGCATTATCGATCCTTGCTAATCTCAGTCTTTTAACTCTTGTCTTACTACTACATTTGTATCATTAATACCATTGCATATCAGGGGCCGCCAGATATTCAAGCCAAACATCGCTTTATTTGCATTTTATTTATTGCATGTGCTTCTGAGCCACAATTCACCGCGATCTAAGATATACGTTCAGCGTTTTCGTGCACAGCTTTCATAAAATGCAAATAAAGGTACCTATCGATCGATATCGGCGGATACCAAGGACGTTTCTATTTACAATTCAACTAACATCGAATAGCATGTTGCATGATGCTAAAAGAACTTTGGTGTATTTAACAGCCCACTACGATTAACACTCCGCAACTAACCCTGAACCAACGGAACTTGCTGAAATTGGTACGTTCGATGCAGTCGAGCGGTATGAGCGATGATTCTCAAGCGAGCGTCATAATGCGGAACAAGGAACCCAAAAGTAAAGAGCCGTCTACTCCCGACCTCCTCAATGACACGGCTAATCTAAAGACGGCCGTGGAAAAAAATAGGCCGAGATCGTGCGTCAATCCGACACCGCTAGGTTACGATTTGTGTCCGAACAATAGCCGGATCGAGTTGGACACGAATAGGCGCTGGTCGGGGGTGCAGTTGGGTTCCAAGTTGATGCAGGCGTTCGACAGATTAGTATTTGACGATAGTGACGATTACACAGATAGCTTAGAGAACAACAAGCCCTCCACTAAAACGCCCGCCGTTGAAAAGGTAACTTGGAGGGAGTTAGTGTGAAATAATGCGCTTCCTTGTGTAGATCGTACGTTATTTTCGTTTTGTGCAGGTTCTGAGTTTGATGCTTTTTACCACGCTTTGTGCCTTTGACGAAATACAATTATATGATAATGCTTGTTTTCATATCAGTTTGTGTTTCAGTTCGTTTGTTATACTTTGGTTTGGTATTTATGTTATGCCGTTTCATAGCTTTGGTTTATGTTTATACAGTATACGGTTCGTTCACTCGTAAATATGACGAAAATTGACTTTTCGTCTACACGAAACATTTACATTCCATCCGTCTTGCTTTGAAAATAGTTGCATGCATAACATTCCGTTTTGCAAAACTGAATAAATAGACACATCAAAGACATTTTAAATACCTATGTTTAACGTTAAATATTTGTCTTAAACAAATACACATTACAAAACATGACCACTAGTTTGTATGTTACACTGTATAGAAATTTGTAAACATGGAAAAGAAATCAAAAGTAAATTAGTTTAGTAAAGTATTCTATAACTATCGTATACAAAATTACAATGAATCATCAAGTGATATTACAACACTGTATTTTAAATTGAACTGAATTCTATGTTTGATAAATACGTTTGCTTTATCTTATTCAGCTCGATACCAGCGGCGAGGAGCAATGGAGACCAAGCTCCGCAAATAGTTGTGGGAGCAACAACACAGGAAACGGGAGCAATAATTCCGGTGGCAAGTTTCGTAGACTTCAGCTGAAATGGGAGATGATCAGCAACGCTGAAAGCCCCGTTACGCCAACCAGTAAGTTAGACTTTTAGACTTAGTACTATATCAAAACATTACTCTTTGTTATATAAGATGGCAATGTAAAAACTAAAATTAAATTGTCATTAAGTAAGAATACAACAGTCTTTCTTCATTAAACGAATGTTCCAATTTTGTACCAACATTAAATATGTCTAACAATGTACAAAGTCGTGTTCTTAAATGTAATGCTAGAAAATAAAATACACATGTAACAAATCAATATACTAATTTAATTTTTACGTACTACCTTTGTGAGAATGAGAATAGTGCTTTAACGACAGATAATTCTATATTTATCATTGTTTATATTAAACCTTAAAGACCCATTCCACGAATCTGGAAGTGCATTACCAACATCCGAATTGCTAATAGATATGAGCCAGGTTCCTGCTAATCATTTGTGAATCACCTACATTCCGGTTTAAATTTACACAACGATAAGATTAAGGACGGCATTTTAAGCAAATCAAACCAAGGCTAACTATACTCAAAAAAGTCGTTTTAAGTACACGGCGTTTACTAAAAATATGTAATACAAAGAAATTCATACTTAAAGAAACACGCAAATCAAAAATAAATAACCCAGCTATGTAACATCACAACAAGGTGTTCTATTAAATACTGTCTATAGTTTACGCGAGTAGTACACATTTAAATAAAACACTTTAACGGTTTAAAACGCGATATATTAGTTAAACTTATTTTGAAATGATTTTTAACTTCGGCTCGACGTTTCGGATGCTTTGCAGCAGCCGTGGTCACGGGGAGACTCCATATGACCACGGCTTTTAACTAATATATCGCGTTTTAAACCGTTAGTGTTTTTATTTAAAGGATGTTCTATTGACTAATTTTGGCTTTAGATATTTGGAAATCACGAACTGAAACCGAAGCGACATTAAACTTCACACGATTTAACACGATCTGTGTGTGTGTGAGTTTTCGATATTATTACCATTCACCACCCATTAAATATTCAGATTTTCAGACGTTACAAAAAATTCGCCTTATATTGCTACCATTAGTAGTAAAGACCCCGTCAAACGTAGACGAAAGTCAAACGTCACTATGTCGGTATTGTATTAAATGCATGGAAATCGTACATAAGAAACGACTATAGTGAACATGTGAAATGTATTTATTACTTTATATTTAACTACGATTCGACGTTTTGAAGAAGTTATTAAGTATATTAAGACGGTGTTACGAACACAATTTCTCCCGCAGTTTTCTGTGCACCAAAATTAGTATGACTCGCGCGTACATCCTCTATACACTACATACTACATATTGTATAATAAAATTGTCGGATATAAAAACAATAGCTAATGCCATAAATGTACTGCGACAAATTTAGAACTTCCTCTATATTGTACTGTTAGTTAACCATCATTTAATAGATTGTAAACTTAACTTGTTTAAATAAAACACAACGGTTTAAAACTCGATATATTAGTCGAACTTTGTTTGCATTTTCCAGCCCGTACTGGTTAATTAAATAGTCTATCTATAGTTTACGCGAGTAGTAGGTACACATTTAAATAAAACACTTTAACGGTTTAAAACGCGATATAAGTATTATCTAACGTGTTTTATTTAAATGTGTACTACTCGCGTAAAACTATAGACAGTATCTAACTTAACTTGTGAAATTATGATACGGGCACAAAAATCTGTCGTCTATCTCATCTTCTTTTGTGTTTTTTCGTAATTTAAAACGACACCATCACTTTTCTAAGGTTATTGGTCGTTACAAAGTCACCATTTCCTCTTGGCATGAGATACTAAAAGCTATTTCAGTAGATAGCGTAGGTGATCACCACAAACAAGTCCCACTAACCTTTGAATAGCGAGTAAATTATTAAATCCAACTGTTTTTGCCTGTAATACAATTTCTCATAGATTCTTATTTCCTATATCTTTATGTTTTTGTACGTTGCTTCTAGAACGGCTAAGAAATTAATTGCTTCCTAGCGTTAAAATTTAATTATCCTTGTCATCTTTGAAATCGCGAACTCAAATTGTATCTCAAGGTTATATATAAACTTTTAAGTGATTCTCCAACACGTGTTTATAGTTTGAAGTCCATCGCTTACAATATTAAACCTTAATGTCATAGTATTAAGGTTTTATTACGTTTGGACACGAGTGCACATGCTCGTCAGATAAAAATAATATTTTAGTAGATGCCCCTGGATGACCTTATGAGTTGCATTGATATCACTCTTAACTTTTTGTATTGTATATTTAAATACCAGATTACAAAAAAAATTTACGATACTAATTTAAAACAATTGGTAATAATGCTTCAATTCGACCAAATTTGATTACCATAAAAATGGTTCTGCGATATAAAAAATGGTAGGCATATATCGCGGATATTTTATTTTTCTTTTATTTAAAAGGGAATCACACTTTCAGACATATTTTTTGGTTTCTTGACAGTTTTTCTCCTAGAACTCTTTCTTCACGCCTATCGTCCATCGTTCCTCGATAAAAGAGCTATCCAACAAAAATTTTTCTCCATTAGAACGAGTAGTTCTTGAGGTTAGGCGTCAAACAAACAAACTCTTCAATTTTAAGATATTTTACATCACATTATCGGCTTCTGTTATATTAATAACTGCTAATTGTTTTTTTTTTTTTTTTTAATAATATCGATTAATAACGCTTAACGAGAGTGAAGAATAATTTTTAATGCATGCTTTTTGAAAAAATGAAATTTAATATGCAAGGTTTTTTTAAATTTATTTATGAAGCAGGTGAAACATCGCCAGCAACGGCGCGTGGCTCCAAGATACCCCGGCCGGTGTCATCGCCCGTCCGACCGCAAGCACCTTCCATACCTTCACCTGCCAAGAACGGCCACCGGTAAGTGTTCGTGTTAAAACTAATAAAACCACATTTACATGAATCGCTGTCTAATGTAACAGATCGAAAGTCTTTGACATTTTGTATAGGTTACATTTAGAAGGTACTCATAGTTTTGGCAGTAAATATATTCTGATGTTTGTTTGCACGTATACCTGGAGTATACTTAAAATTACTCTTAGATTTAATAACTACTTGATAGATATATATATATATATATATATATATATATAAGAATTTATAATAACCAATTATTTGTCATTGTTTTAAGACAAAAATATTGATATTTATTCACATATTATTAAACATCCTTAGAAACGAAAAAAAATATCTATACTACATGGTCGCATAGAACGTTCAATTATAATCCGTAATAATAACGTCTTTCTTTTGTTTTAGTTAAAGTGTTTTTTGCTAACGTTTATTACTCATTGAATTTCACGAATGCGGGTAATTTCAGCAATAATTTCATTTATATACAAATTTCCTTATTACCCGTACATGAACGAATTGTTCGTTATTAAAAATAAAGAAAAATTTGGAAGTAAATATGTTACAAACATACGTATATAATATTCAAATTGTAAGAATGAGGTCTTAATATTTTTTTTTATGTGGTATGTATAGTGGTATACCGGTGGCAGTACGCAAGGGTTCTTCCCCAACGACGTCAAGTCCGCGATCACAAACCACACAACGCGCTGCTGCAAACAGCAAAAAGCCACCGCAAGCCGCAAACAGGTAAAATAACATTATTATTGTAATAAACAAAATCCTCAAACGTTATGCGTAACTGTACACTTTTTTTGAACGTCTAGGAACTTAAAATCCAAACACAACTTTTATTTTAAATAAAATTATAGATATAAACAAAAAGATTTACCTCGTATTTACGATTTACAATTACTATCTTGTTGGTCATAATAGTTAGTAAAGTCGACTGCAGGTGACAATTTCGAAACTCGGGACCCACGTGTGTGTTCGTTATTTGCGAGATCAAAATTTCTACTTCCAGTCCGGAAGTTGATGTAGTATTACCATCCCCGTGCTATTGTATTAGTGTCATGAAGTTAGTTAGACCACTAAGTTTTAGTCCTATTCGTAAATACCTTATAGTCACAGAAGAATCAAAGGTATGTAATATAAAGAGAAGATATCAAGCCAGCAGTCAGATATTGTGATTTAAGCTGGAACCAAAGTTCTTTGAATGGTAATATCTGGTATTATATGTGATATAAATTTACGAAATAGTTTATGCATAGTACCCAACAAATGGGGTTATAATTATCACTATTGGGTATACCTAATTTATAGAAATTTCCATTACCAGCGTAGCTCTTGCTAGTGATGTATATAAACTAGACAGCACTTACAAACTACCCTAGTAAAGCGCACACTAGATGGTGAAGGTTCTTTATACTATGTATAAAAAAAAATTAGTTTGCTTCTTGCACATAATCAAACGCAATATGCACGCTCCAACAGAATACCCGTGAAGCCGGAAAGGAAATCGTTGGACAGCGGAAGAAACAATCGTATACCCGATAGTAAAGTTAAAATTTCGCCGTATGTATACTTGAATTGCTGGGATTAAAAGTACTAACGGACTTCTATTTAAATATTAATATAATAACCGCATGAACTTGCACGTTTGACACTCATTAATTGATCAAAAAAGGAATAAACTTTACAGTTGGAACATTTTATTGTGTTCGTAATATCGTGAAAGTGGTGGTGGATAGACCATAAGGCGGATTTCAGACACCGTTGCGTATATCGGTCTTTCCTTACTTGTCAGCAGAACCGTCACCCACGCACTGACGGTAGACCAAGCTATAAAACTTGCCTAACCCTTAAAGATTTTTTAAATTCAATAGAAATTATATACCAAAGCTTGTTATACATTCGTAGACCCAAATTAAAGAAACAAAACTATGAGGATCATTTTCATTTACATGAAATTTAACATTTCCATAGATTATGAAGGTCAAGCATGTTTGGAGTCTTCATCAATGTAATGTCATAAATAAAACTTAAAGTAATAATAAAATGATCCTAATGATTAGGACGTCCCGAGTGGACCAGGCACAAGGCGCAAGTGGTGTCACGCCACGCCCATCATCATTGCCCTACGGTAGAGCCGCGCCTCCTGCTGCACCACGTCGAGCTGCCTCCTCATCTGCTGCTAGAGCACATACACAGCAGAAGCACAAGTAAGAGTCGTAATACAAAAGTTAAATGTTGTTTTAAACGTTAAAGTGCAATTCAAATACAAAAGTTTTCTAAAATATATATATAAAAAAGTATTGTATCAAAATTGGTAAAAATTTAAATTAACATTCACTGTCAATTGTCTCTTGCCCCAGTTAAAATAGTTAGTGCAGTTACCGTACTTATGAGTTCAATGTACCAAATTGGTTAAATTAAGAAAAATAATTAATTTAGCTCTCTCTTCTAATATGTATATATTACACATGTGTACTTTTATGTAATTCTAAATATGTAAATGTTTATATTCAACATTAAAATGAAATATTAACAGGGATCTTTAAATCAAACTAAATTACTAAAGTAAAAATAAGTTTGTTGAATTTTAAAATTTTATATCAACATGTTTATGCGTTTTCAGGTACGTTCGAACTCTGTGGCACAGACTACCCTCAGATTCCGGTCACTTAGCGTTCAACGAAGGCGAACGCTTACGGCTAATTCTGGAGGTAGACGATCAGCACCTTCTGTGCTGTCGAGGTGAGCAGAAGGGCCTCGTGCCACGCGACGCTGTGCTTTTAGAGGACTTCTGATATTGGCCTGCCTAGCGCGAATGGCAGCCGCACTGGCGACCGCTCAATCTTGCTAGACATTAGAGCGCGGCGTCACTCGGCTGCTACGAACAATGAACACTCAAAACTTCAGTGAATCGTGTGATAATTGTGATTTTAGTCCAGAGATAAGTCATTCGAACTTCGTGATTCTCCTTTCGACGTTACCTATAATAATCGAATCGGTCACCGCGCAGGGATTTCTACGATCGTAGTTATAGGGATGTTCATTTTATTTATTATCTATTTTAGATACTCTGACGTTTCATTGAAATTTTACGACGGGATTTTATATTTTTAGACGGGACTCGAACTTGACGATTTTTTCTTATTCTCCACCTGTCGCAGTAATCCCTGTTCCATGACTATGTGATCGAAAAGATTCGCACATTGTATCTATGTATGATTCTTTAGTAAAATCTAGTCTTATTTTAAGTCGCGACTTCATCTTATATTGTAAATATAACGTAAACATAACTCGCGGGCACATTTACCGCTACTGATAATTAGAATAAAAGGCATTTAGGAGTTTATATCGACTCAATGACGGTAGATGTTCCCCCGGTGTCGTACATTTTACTCTAAGGACAAAATCTCACTTCTTACCGGCTGAGGCAAAGACGTCATATTTAAAATTATTAGATAAAATTCGGATATTGGTGTCTAAATTATATCGATTTTTGTATCATAATGTTATTGTACGTATCGGTGTTAGTTCGTTTAGCGATATCATGTAATGGAGGGTCGGTTGAAACCACATTTTGGGGTGGGACCGCGGACTTGTTAACCACGTTTTCATATATTAACAGCATGCGGCCTTTCCATCTACCTTCCTATAGGGTTTGTGGTCGGGGCCATACGTCTAAACTGTTCTTTTTACATTCGATTTGTATGGTGTCGTGGGCTTTAACTAGGTTGTGGTACTAACCGCATGGCCTTTTCCAAATTTCCATTCCAAAAGTCCACATTTATGCGCGGTGTTGGATCGTAACGTCCCTCGAACTAATTGGTCACTTTTCCTTCAAGATCATCCGTCATTTTGCAAACTATTAATTCGGCCCCATTTATAAGGTGTTTACCGTATTGTGTCGAATACTTTGCGAGGTCTGGAGCATCAAAACTGTACGGGCTTCATAACTCTAGATTTACTCTTGTGAATAATGTTTAGAGGCCTATTGATATTGGTCGTCGGTAACCCGAGACCTTCCATTCGCTTACGCCAAATATGATAGTAATATTGTGATAGTCAATCATATCACTGCTTAAATGCAACTATTGAGAGAACGATATTTTTGGTACGTTTATTGCTCAAGGGACGGTTTAATTAGATATAAATAAAAAAAATACTCTAATGTAATCTTGTATTTGTACTCGAAATTCCAGTATTCGTCTGTAGATTTGTAAATAACGTATATTAGAAATGAAAAGGTCAAAATTAAACCTTTGAAATGCACGATACAGTTCCTCTCGTAGTACGTCGTGCGAGTCACAAATTGGCGAAATGTAGATAATTGGTGTGTTAGAACGAAATTGTAGTCTCAATGGCGTCTTTTCCGAAGCCGGCTCAACTCTTGCCCTCGGCAATCTCATTAGGTTAAACTCACTTGACAATCGTTATAAATGCCTTCGAAATATTTCGCCGAATACCGCTTTCTCGTGTTTTCGAACTGAACGATACACCCTACCGTTCCTTACTGTATTCGGCGAAATGTATGAAAGGTAAGGACTGTATTATAGAGTGTAATTACAACGATAGGTTAGGATCGTTGATCGTAGTTCAACTTTCACGCTTAGGTGTACCAGTTTGTAAAATATTAACTCATTGTCATTAATCTGCGCTTGCGACTGAATGTGATGTGGCCTTTGTAATTGTTATTTTAAATTATCGTAGTGTGAGTGAGCTTGTCGCGTCGTCATATACATCTACTTACGTCTGGTTGCTTCCAATAATGTATAAATAGTGATTACTTGAACAATCTAATATCCGTATAGAGATTAGCTTAAAATGCCTTATATTCACACAGTTCTATGAAGTGGGAAATTATAACGGAATAGCTTCCATCGCTTGAGAAATAATCGCTTCGGAAGTTAACGTAATATGTATTTTAAATAGAAGTTTGTTAGTGGTAAGTTTTTAACAGTTTGTATGGAATAATGAATCATGTGTGTCTGAAGTAATTCCTGCGCGTTTGAAAGCGAGTAGTGTCGCGGTAAATGGTGAGACTGCGTACAAAAGTTTAATTTATAATTATTTCTTTATTAATTTACGATTGGGAACAATAATCGTTTTTTGAGTTGAAATTTTATTTTCGTATAAAACGTATTGTGAAAATATAAAAAATTAACTTTCGCCCCGAGCGAAAGCGAACGAACGACTGAGACATAATTCCGAATATATTTATAAGTTTCTCGAAAATTCAGTTCCGATATTATACATTCATCATCCATTTGTGTATGTATCATTTAAAAATATTATTATGTTAAGTGCCATAATTTAATAAATTAACAATTGAATAAATATATGCATAACCATGTACACCAATTAAATAATAATATAATGAAATAATGTTGTTTTATTATACAACAAAAGTGTACACAGTTTTTTAATATCAACATGGGGCGGTAATGGCCTATGATAGAAATATCATAGACCATTAATAAATAACGTAAAGGTGTAAACAAAATTTTGTTATCAATTCATCGTTATATTTTCTAAGGTCACAAGTTGACTGAAAGTGCTCATACAAAATTAATTATCTTTTTTTGATAACAGGTACATAGGTATAGAAGTGAAAAATAAAAGCTGGAATTTTGTTTGCTCTCTTTATTTCAACATGAAACAACTACACAACAAATTCGTGATATATTTTTGACAATGTTGCAACTACAGTGTTCGATATAACATGATTAAATTGTATTCAATAAATGGGTCTTAAAATTCAATTTAAATTTCATAACGTAAATGGAATAAACTTTACCAATAAACTAAATTATGGCATTATTAAAATCTAAACAGAATATAACAGACACACGGATATATTCTTAAAAACAGTACATTATTGCATTAGATAAAAGCTCAAATCCTTATATAAGGTGTACTCCTACCAGTGTCTTAACAAGGACTAATGATAAAGAGATATAAAAGTGATAGTTACTGGAGTGAGACGTTTACCACAAACTACAATACAGCGATTTGAAATCTATAAAAGTTACAAAGAGTACCCAAGTACTTGCAAAATAATGATGTTCATTATAATCCCGCTACATAATGTTATAAACCATATAGAAGGGAAACCGTTTCGTTCCGTAACGCGTTACGGCGCCAGTTTATCAAAATATAACGAATGACAGTTGTTCCGAGAGGCACATATATATTTTTTTGGGTTTTGCAAGGAACAAAAATAACCTAGAAAGTATTTTATATTATAACTTGAACACAATTATTAATTCTTGGTTTAAGATTGTTATTAGGATCTACACACTAATAATCTCGATGGAAGTGCGTAAAATCAATTATAATTCCGATAACAAAATCGATATGTAATGTATTTTTTTAAATTTGCCTAGTAAAAAAACAAAAACATTCAAGGACACATAACTTTGTACATAATAGATTTTTTTCACATTCGTCGTTTTACAATACCCACAGTATATTGCCCTATTTTTCCCAATTCTAAAAGAAATATAACTGACATAGAAAAAACGAATTATAGATATTGTGAGCTTGTCTTCTTGGATTTTCAATATATTGTAAAGGCAGGGCGTTGCGATATGGACGAGCGTCTGGAGCAAGCAGATCTTGGAGGTTCACGGGCACTTACAGGTCTATATGAGCGGCGGTTGATTTCGTTACGAAAGAAACGATCCTCATCGATAACTTTCCTTGGAGAGAGCGCCCTCGGAGTGCGTGGAGTACGCGACCAGCGCGCAGACCGGCTACGTGATAGAGGACGTTCCTCCTCCTCCCAATCCTGGCTATAGTACTCATCCTGAAAGTTATAAAGAGGTAACTAAGGCCTGTCAGTTATATTTGGCTAAAACCAAAGCTATTTCGGGATATTTAGTTAGTAATCCTTTTGAAATTTCCTCAAAACGTGACATTGAGTAATTAAGAACATTTTCCGCCATTAGTCTGCAGCTGATAATTCTATTTTCCGCACGTGTTTTCAATTAGCATCAAACTGTTTTTAGTGTTTAATTTAACCATCTACTAAACTAATGCAGAATACTGTGAAGTGAAGATTTATTTCTAATTATAAAAGTGGAACTCACCATTTACAGGATCATTAGGCACCGGACACAATGTATATTAGTGCTTGGTGTAGTGCACTTTGACAACTAAAGATGAATTGGGGGATTGTTGTTTGCTGTATCTAAGGCTTACACACGACAATTTTAAGTAACCAAAGAAATCAGTACAAAGACGACTCCTTATAAATAATTGTCGATCAATAAAGGAAATTGTATTGTACTTAATGGTTATATTAAGCCTGAAATATTGCCTTGTGTAAACGACAACTGAAAAGCAAAATTTGCGAACAAACATAAATAAAACAATGTTCTATTAATACGTTATTTTGTATTAAAGACATTACAAATACAATATGTTGCCATAATATTATAGTTTTTGATGACTGAAAATGATCACTACAAATACGTGATAGATAAAAATGTAATACTAACGTAAAATACTTGTGTCTTTCCCACGTTATCAAATTCCGGAAATGTCGAAAATAGACAACACTTATAACAAGAATGTAATTACAATTACTTGGTAGTTATATCTTCCCGCAATGCAAGTAACTACTCTGTAAATATGAAGACGATGCAAAGTAAACGTGAATTAAAAGCGTCAACATTTAATTAGTACAGCTACCTATAAACTAATAATATTTATCCTTTAATTATAAATACATACAAAACATACTTATAAATTTTACTTAAAATACTTCTTTTCAGTCCAACTCCAAAACGCGTTGCTTTCGACATTCAATCATCACTTCTTTATAACTGACGAACAAATAAATCATCTAGGTACTACAAAAAAATGTTCAGCAAAATTTTTATGTCTTATACAAATCTATAATAATACAAATGTATTACCATTTTTACTAAACTTAAACAAATTTTGACAACAAAGATAAAGTCTAAAGTCTGCTTAATATCGAAACCAACGCATTACAATTCTTAATTGCCCTTCCTAACAATAAAGATCTACGGATAACTAGATTTGAAAAATTACAACAATAAAGACAATTTCACATTTAAATGAATAATGACGTATCGAACAGTATCGCAAGTGACAACAAATAAGTGCTTATTTACTAAATACACGACGATATTGGCTTATGTGACTTTAAGCTTCACTACAAATACGGCGGTGCAATGATTTACCAAAACAAGTATAACTAGTATAAATTGTATGTTATAAGTAAATTTTACTGTAACGACCCACGTATCTCTCATGTGAAATTTAAAATCTTCAAGAAAGAAAAATACTATAACGGTGTTTATTTATGATGTACATATGTGTGGAGGTCCCTAATTACTAATCCATTTTATTACTCTTTTAAAAATACATTGAAAATAATTCGAATCTAAATTGGCACTCTTTCCAAACAGGTCCATGATATAAACTAACGTAAAAAGCATTGATCTCACGAGTTTTTCTATATCTAGTAGTAATTACTATGTAATAAGCAATGGAAATTTAAATTTGTCCGAGTGATATGCTACAATACGGTAATGTTTCAATTAAACCTCTGTGTGGAGTACTTTTGGAATTAACAGCTTATCTTAACAATAAACAATAATTAAATCAATAAATGTATAAAATGTTTGGACTTTTAGTATCGAAATATCGAATTTCGATGTGTGCTTTAACTCTGTTGCTCATTCAGATTCTCGTCTGCCTTTGGAGGTTGCGCAGCTGGAGGCACGGGGCTCTATGAGAGAAAAATGAATTAAACAAAGATTTCGAAATCATTGACAACGAATTCACATAATAAAGGAACAATAAGAACGAAACCAAAGAGTATTAACCAAAGGATGGAAGGAACAATCAAACCAAAGCGATTTCAATTTTGTTATTAGACACATGAGGTCACACCACACATGATACCTTAAGCCCTTAGTCAATAATATGTGTACAAATATTCTGGCTGAAACAAATGAGAATCATCGTGAATATATAATGGAACTACATGAAGATGACTAGACCTCCACCGACAAATAAAAGATCGCAAACGAGGAAAATGAAAGACTTTGTTCTTGATATTATTATTTACATAGTCTTTTCGAGACATTTCAAAAATGTAAATGCACAGTAAGGCTCTTTTCTACTATAGCGCAGACTGAAATTAAATTTGGACGGCTATAACAAGGTCTTTCATTAAAAGTTGTAAAACGTAAACAAAAGACAACAGAAGAAAATGTCTAAGATCCATCACACTGGGGGTAAAGCCTCACCTCCTGCCTCGACTGGCCGTGACTGTTGGGAAGAGGGGATTGACCTCCGATCTGCTTTATATAATCTTTATCATCGAATATTTTGATGTCACCACCTCCAGGTTTGTGTTTCACGTTGTCAAGGGAACCCACTTTGCTTTGTGCTTTGAATTCCAACTTTTGGTTTTCGATCTGTTTCAAAATGTGTGCGATAATATAACATGTGTGAGACAGATAAAATGTTTGTTTCATGAAATAACAATAAATACACTGTAATTACAATATAAGCTATGTCATAAAGCTCTGAAACGCATTTTGAGCGAGAAGACAGCGTTTTCTTTCCATAAAATCGCTATTATGAGTTTCAGTCTATGGTTTAAGAAATCCAAGAATATTTTATTCTGTATAAACAATATAAACGCATTTAGAGCTTTATAAAATCAAAGTGTACATTTTATGTAATACACATATAAGATAATACATCTTACATAAATAAAAATATTTAGCATAGTGAACGATAAAAAACAGACGTGTGTTGTAGGTAATCAATACATTTTGTGTTTTTCTTTATTTCTTTTTTTAAAGCATTAGGTCAGCATTTTGATGTTTTTTGTGTGTGCTTATAATATTATTGTGTGTTTGTAGAGAAAGCATTGTTATTAAAAATGTGGTAAATGTGTGTGTGATAGCCACAATTTTGTTTATGTGTATAACATTCTCATTCGTCTTATTTAGTCTCGTGATTCACGTCAGCGTGAAAGCAGCCTTAAACACACCCTACCAGAAGTCCTAGAGACTCACATTCCCAATGTTTTCTACAATAAACGAATCGCCTCGACCGACCAAACTGACCTTACTCCGTAAATAAACAAAATTAGTAGGCTTATTCGATGCCCTCCATCTTGGCAACGCCCATTTTATGAACTAGAAATTTCCAAAGGTTTTGTATTGTAAAATTTTGATGTAAATTGATAGGATAATCCCATTTGACGTCTAATTATGTGCCGAATAATACGGATGTGATTAAAATTGTGAGACATTAAGCACACCGAAGCAACTAATTATAGTGTAACTTACTTCTCTTGTCCCGGATTTCGAAATTGAACTCTATAGAAAAAGTGAAAATTAATTTTGCACTATAAGATAGTGTAGGGCCAAATCGTTTTACTTAATTTGAGAATAAGCTAAATAACTAGTAATACTGTGCTTTCACTTTTAAACTTTACTCACAATATGAATCCCTATGATGACATTTCTCTAAAAAGAAAACGTACGATTTTTCTTATCAGACGAGTAATGGTCATCTCCTTACCTTTACAGCTCCGCCACCCGGTTTATGGGTAATGTTAACAGTAGAAGCAACTTTCGGCTTAGCTTTTTCTTTGAAATCCAGTTTAACTGTTTCAATCTTCTTATCTCCACCTCCTGGTTTATAGGCTGCGTTTTGAAGAGATCCAATTTTTGATTTCGCGTTCCATTCGAGCTTGGTAGATGTTATCTGAAACAAATGAAAAATTCATATCACAAATACTATAATATCACAAAAACTTTTTCACTATAGTATATTAGCATATTTTTAATACCTTCTTTGTGCCGCCGCTAGGGGTATAGGCGTCATTTTTGGCTGCGATTTTGGGGGCAGCGTTGTTAAAATCGAGTTTTCTGTTCTCAATTTTCACTTTTCCTCCACCTGGTTTGTATGTCGTATTATCCAAAGATCCGATCTTAGACCTCACAGCTTTGATGTTGGGTGATGGTGCGCTGCCCACTTGAACTTTATTCATGGGAACTTCTATAACACAGAAAATAAGTGAAATATATACTTACAGGCTCTAAAGCTCAATCAATTAGGTTAATAAGTATAAATCACTCTAGCTTTACTTAATTCTTACCTAAAATACATTAAAAGTACATACTTTTCTTATCTGTCGGTTGTGGTGTTTCTGGCGTCTTTGCTGTGGCACTTTTGCTCGAAGACCGGGACAAGCTTGGTTTCAGACTGCTACTTGATTTTTCTTTTGTCGGTAGTTTACTTGGTAGGGTCTTGTTAGGTGAACCAGGAGATCCATTTACATCCTAACAGAAGATGGAACCATTTTATCCATACGTTTTATAAGAAACGATTCCTAAGAAAGATTCTTTAATTACTTACGTTTCCTTGAGTTGATTCATCAACACCACTATCATTGTCTCCATCTGAAAACAGATAAATATTTAAATTAAAAAAGTAAACTAACAAATTGATTGAATAGTAAAAAAAAATATTATTTATTATTTTGGTATGCGGCTATGAATTACCTTAAATTAATAGCAGTAGTTTCTTAGTTATACAAAAATTACCTTTCGCTCTAGACTTAGGGGCTGAAGCTACTTTCCGAGGAGTGGATTTTTTCGAATCATTTGGTGCTTGCGGAGACGTTATTAGTTCAGCAGGTTTCTTTTTCAAGGGTGTGTGAGATTTATTGTCAGGCACGGGTGATTTTGATTCAAGCAGTGGCGATTTTGACATTGGTCTATTTACTGTTGGACTCGGAGCTTTCTTGAATTCAGGCGAGTCTTGTTTAATCTCAATTTTAGGCGTCTTTGGTCTTTGTGGTTCGGGAGTTACGCTTTGGGATTTATTCGACTGAACAGAAATTTGTGAATTGTTTTTAGGTTCTGGTGAATCATCGCTTCTTGTTAGTGACGGTGAACGATCAGATAAATCTGTCTTATTTTGCTGACCGTCATTTTTAGCCGGACCTAGTTTGTTTTGTAACACGACGTCATCGTCATCATCATTCCTTTTCTTTGAAGCCAAATTAGAAATAGAGCCCATAAACGATTCTGTCATTTTAGCTCCCGCTAAACGTATTTCAGGACGATCAATTATGTCTCGGCTACCATCATTAGAAGCTTCTGACCGTACGCTCTCTTTTGATCCACGAATATTATCTCTACTACCGATACTCTCTTGAATCTGACCTAGACCAGAATTTCGACCTGTAACATCGTCATATCGACCACCCACTACGCTTAAAGATTTACGCCTATCGTCGTCCATTTTTAAAGGACTCGGCGATCCAGGTGCTGCTGCAATGCTAAAACTACGCCCTTTTGGCGCCCCAACTGTTTCAATGTTGCTTTCAATCTTGTTGGCATTTTGATTTTCATTTGAATGATTTTGGTTATCCAGATTGACTGGTTTGTTTTGAGGTACAGCGAACTCGGAGTTATTTAAAGAGCTTTGGGAGGACTGTCTTGATATTTGACCAGGGTTTCCGCCGCTCGGTTGTTGTGGTTTAGGAAAACCGTTTGATTGTGTATTTATATTTGGCCTCGAACCATCCGGTGTAGAAGCACTGCCAAATTGAGGAGGTTGCCTCGGACCGAATTGCAAATTGTTTGGGACAGGAGGCCGTTGAGTCTGAGGGATATTTTGTTGAGGCCGCGGTCCTTGTTGTGGAGCTATGGACTGTGGACCACCCGGACGAAACTGCGGCGGTGGTTGTCGAATCAGTTGAGGACCTTGCGCAGGGAGTGGACCACGCGGTGTCGGCGTTCCGGGACGTGGTCCCAGTGGTGAGTTTGTTACTGATCCGCCCGGATAAAATTGCGGTCTCTGTTGAGGTCCAACTGGCCGCGGTGACGGAGATGATAGAGACGAACGGGAGTCTGCTCTATTAAGAGGTGGTCGAACAAATGTTGAATCTGCGCCGTTCTGAACACCCGGAGAACGAGCCTCTGCAGGTGCCTTTATAAATAATTATTAAAATTATTGCATATTCTACATATACATAAACTTGTATCTATCAGTATTATATGAAACATATATTTACTAGGAAACACAAAAAGGCAAGTTTTATCGAATAAATCTTTCCCTATAAAACTTTTTGTCAGAATCGAGGGTCGGGCCGGCGATATCTCTGGATAAAAAGAGATTTGTAACCCACAAAGAAATTGTGTCCCGGTTACGTTAGAATGGAATCGTAAATACAATTCTATTATTGAATAGTAACAACTTGAATAATAACTTAATTGACTTAACTAGAATGGCAAAGATTCTATGCTTTTTTTGTTGACTTAGTGAATACTGTTTAGTAAATTATATCAGCTATTTCCAGGCGTTTCTAAGTTTTCCAATGACCATAATGTTTTTAAATGATTTTATTGTTTGCACTTAAGTAGGGATTTTCCTAATCTGCTTGATTTGTCGCTACTTTCGTTACTACTAGCGCGATCTTAAAATTCTTTAAAGCCTTATGAGTATCGCGAGCATTGGCCTTACGATCACGAATTGACACGAACTCGGCTACTGGGTCAAAGCATGACCGATTTTAAAATGCAAAGCAACCGCGTCTAATGAAATGAATTCTCTTTCAAACTAATAAAATCTAGATATACAATATACAAAAGGGAAATACCCGATATATTTTATCAACGATTGGTTTTTATATATATTCTTACAAAAAAACCTATTATTGGTTTTGTAGTCTCCGCTTCCTGTTTACTACTTAAGTATATGAAAAAGGCGTTTTCATGAACAAAAGCGTGTTTCTTTACTAAAGAATACTAAGAGCAAGAGAACAAGAAATTAGGTCACGATGGTAACTTTGGGTAAACACCGCTCGTATCTTTCCATAACGTTTTATTTGAAACATCTGAAAATCAATATTTTTATTAGTAGCTACTAGCAGCTACACGTTACAAAAATGTCGATCGCGTGATCGCACGTAAACTACTAGATAGTATATTATTATATAACAGTGCTGTATGTATTAAATAACTAGAAGAACTGGTGTATTTCTAATAACATATCCTAACCTATAATCCTAATACTACGTTTTAAATAATACGTTTTAAAATATTTTAAACAGAAAATTACTTGTATATTATTTAATTGTTAATAAATAAATCAACTTCTTGTTACACAAAAACGATCATTAAAAGAGACACAAGAATATGTCTGCCCCAGAAGGGAGAAAAGATCACTTATTTTCGTAAATATGGAGCAGACCCACATTTATAACTGTTTCATTACCCACTGAAGACCACAAGAAGCAATTTTCAGACACAATAAATTATGACTTGCGTTTGTTGTATCGCGATGAAAATTTTATTAGCACAAGGTTAAGGGCATCTAAAAGGCACCTTATTATTTATTACAACAGCTTACTTGTGCGTCGTTGTGCAGACACAGAAGTAATTGCCTATACTTAGTTTGTAGGATTGCTTCTATAGTTAAATAGTTAAACGTCTTGTTTCGTTACTTTCGAATTCTAGGAAAACAATAGATTGTTTCGGTGGTGCAGGGCACAGAAGTTAAAACAACTACTGTAAACCTGTTAATAAAACCAATCAGTGAAACGGACAGTGTTCGCCCTGTACCCCACGAAGGAAAATGGGATTTCACGTTTTTAGTTGATTAAAGAGTCGGGGGATTTCAAGGCCTTGTTAAATGGCTGTATTTATTTAAATAAAACCACTTTAACGGTTTAAAACGCGATATATTAGTTTAACTTATTTGAAAATGATTTTTAACTTCGGCCCGACGTTTCGGATGCTTTGCAGCAGACGTGGTCACGGGGAGACTCAAAAATCATTTTCAAATAAGTTTAACTTCGCGTTTTAAACCGTTAAAGTGTTTTATTTAAATGGCTGTATTTATATTTAGTTCGTAAGACATATGAGTGATTTAGTACGTAGATATTGTTTTTAGATCATATAATTGGACTGAAACGTTTCTACAACATATTTAAATTTCGAACGATTATACATATAAGTGTCCTTTTGTGTGCGAGGTGCCGTTCTTCAAAAATACTTCGTGCGCTTGTGGAGCCGTAAGGCTTACCCGACTGACGTTATTCTGAGATGGCTCCATTCTTTATAAGTCTTGCTAAAAAGAGCTTTTTATCATATCCACGCGATGATTTCGTCGCCTATTTGCGATATCTCCTTGAAACTATAAAACAATAAGTTTTTTTATTATACCGTATTCACGCAAGCAGTGCTATCAATAAAACCTCGTGCGCGGCTGACGCATAAAACCACGATTCTACGCTGATGAAAATTGCAGTGAAAAACCTGTTCAAAGCTGTTAACTGAGTCAGGTATCAACCGAGTACCTTTGTGATGGAAATTACACAGTTGAGGCGTTTGTAGCAACTAATGATGACATCTACGACTTTGCATGGAGTGTTAAAATTTAAACTTATGATTAATTTAGTTAAGTTGCTTAATTAAAACTACGTAAGACGTGTTAAAACTGAAATGATATGCTACTAAATTGTACCTTCTACGATGTTTTGGGCACTTATAAAAGCCGTGGTTAGTGGGGCCTAAGAGACTACAACGTCGGGTCGTAGTAAAAAAATATTATAAAAAAAAAATTACGTCTTCACGTTTTAACTCGTTTAAAAAGTTTTATCTAATAAAATACTCGAGTATACTGCAGATAGAATTCAATTATGGTTTAAAGAACGTTTAGTTTAATAATTCACATTTTCACTTGAGTGTTGCACCGCTATCTGCACTCTATGGAATAACTGAAAATCTTTTTCAGGCCAATACAGAAACTTGTTACTCACCATCATTTTGTTAAGAATAGGTATAAATTTACTTTGACGGTTTAAAACACGAAATATATTGTTTACCATTTATTTTAACTACGTCCCGTCGTTTCGGATGCTGTTCAGCAGCCGTGGTCACGGGAGGACTGAAAATGGAAGGTGTCCCTAATGTCAATGTAAAACTGCTACACTGGCGCCATCTGTTTCCTTGTGGTTGGTATTTGGAAAAACTAAATGGGTCCTTGCGTGAGTGATTCACGGTGTCCTCTTATTTATGGTATGTATTTTTTGGGATTGTTTTAAATCCTAAAAGACTACTCGAGCAAACTACAGACTTATACGTATATATTTTTTATAATTTATGTATTTTTTTATATTCAGTAATAAGTTTAATATGTAATAGTGTGGCTGTTGTAGTAAATACATTAATCTTCTAATGGCTGGGCTTTTCATGTAACACGGATATACTAAGCATTAAAAAGTAAAAACACGTAGAATTATCGTCAACAAGCATTAACTCTTACACAACTGATGACTTATGCCGAATTAGTTAAAACGTGCTACAGCGTTTCGTGACTAATCATCAATTTAAAACAAAAAAATACATATTAATTTGAACTAAGTACGTCATTAAAAGAGATAATTTCTTATTATTAAACGACTGAGTCATATTTATTTTAAATAATAAGAACAGTTCGTATGCGAGGTGCCATTATCGTATGAGTTATAAGATCTAAGCAAAAAGTATATATATTAACATTACCATTTAAAAACGTTTATGGTTTGGCTAATAGTAACCGTAGGTAATTTAAGATAATATAAATTGACATATTCTCTCTATAAGCTTATTTATAACTATATGCTTTGACTAAAGTTATGTTTAATTATAGTATAGGTATAGCCAGAATATAGGATCCCTAACCTGTTAACACTCTGGATATGTGTATTGTTTGTCTTTTGTGACGCTGAGGTTTACTTTAATATAAGTGCAACAATTCATGCAACATAAGTCATAAAATTTGTATTACCTTTCCAACTCTTAAATTCTAAAGTAGGATAGACATATCCTACTTTCTTAGTACCTTTACACTTAAGACTTATTCAATTTATTTTCTTCTGTACTTCAGGTAACATGAAAAAGATGGCTTAGCGATAAAATGTGTTTTCTTTAATTCTTTTGTTTTGTGGTAAGTATGTGGTTAAATAATCTCTATAAATAAAATTTTCACACAAATTAAAAAAATCTGTTTGTATGCTGCATTTACAAGTTATTTTGTTTCATACCTTAATACTAAGTTTTTATGTTTTTAATAATTAAGATGAACATTAGATGCCTTAAGAGAAAAAAGATAATATGTCTTTCCAAGATATCTTTCTACTAGAGAATTAATATTATTAATATAATTAATATTAGCACATAATCCTACTGGATTCAGATTATGTAATTTAAGATTCTAGTTTGTAAGCTAGAATCATAAATAACAATGTGGCACGAAATTCCCGATTTTAATGACTATAAAGTTCAAAGAATCTAGCGACAATACCAGTTAGCAATTTATTTAAAAATTACCCAACTCTACATTATCTTTCTAGCCTGGTTTTTCCAGACGATTCGCGAACAACAGTGTTCCTAAATCCGTCTTAACTTACTTAACCTTGTACAAATCGTTATGAAGCGACATATTTCCAACAACCTTAGAGAAACCTGTTATCTACAGAACAATTCATCATTATATTTGAAGCATGATAATAATACAAGATTGATATGGAAAATTAAAATAGTAGCATTCTTATAAATAGCCTTGTCAAGCCTGAATTTCCAATGATAAAAAAATCCCCTTAATCTTCGAAGTCACTTTCGAGAAGACGCTGTTTTCCCTGGCTGTAATTTATTAAGCATCGGACAGATTATATCTATATTTACTATTGTTATCTAGTATAGTTTGAAAAAATCCAAAATGTATTGGTATCTATTCTAGATTTCAACGCAAATCGTTTTTATTCCTTACTTACGTTTGACTAACTCTACTAGTATTAAGGTTTTAATACGTGGGCATGTTTAGTTAAATTGTGTGACTAACATAAAACAATAAACCTCATAGCTACAATTTTAATTGGACAGTTTCCTTATCATTAGTCCTGTGTGGATTTAAGCTGCAGACAAACCAAATTAAGATAAATTAGATAGTGTAATGCACGCTTTTCCTTAAACAGTTTTTTCTTTGTTTACTAACACTACCCAACGACGCAACTACAGACTGAAGAATACAGAAGAATAAATTTATATATATATTTTACATCATTATCCTACTATTTTGACGAACGACGTTGTTTTTTATACAAGCAATGTATGGCTGTTAACTAATTGGTCATGCAGCAGTTTTAACTATTAGATCAAGCCTGAAAAATCTGATCTTTTGCACTACATATCTGAAGTCCATCCGAACCATCTTCTTTTAATAAAAATTAGTGTTTCGCTTTTAATTTGTGGATTTCCGAATTTCCAAAGCATAGCTCATTCGTCCTCATTCAACAACAAATAAAATGAAAACAAAATAGTTTTGATAAATGGAAAGATACAATCACGGAACTTTGTATTGTTATTAAAAATTTACAGCCATAAGTCTCGAGCGCAATACAACATTCTCACTGACCGTACTAAATCAAGGGACTATTTATACCTTATCAATCGATAACAATTATTTATTGATTAGGCGACAGGTGTATCATGAACTCTACGCAAGACTTTCCTAACGTGTACATTAGAAGAAAATGTAAGCCTTATGAGCGTCACTGCTCCGCGTCAGCGTACTGCAGTGACGTGGACATCACAGTTTTCTTGCCAAATGAGTCAGATACGATATAAAGCTTCGATCTCCGCTAAACATCGCACATTTTGTACGACGCGTTTCTACAGTGAAGTGGATACAAATGTTTGTAAACGGTGTCGAAGTTATCAATACACGATTTGAGGATTTAACGTTGAACAATTTCGAAAGAAGTGAGTGTCTTTTTGTTTTTGAGTGGCTACAGTTAATCTTTTTATTGTTCTTCATCTTAATTTAGCGAAATACACAGTTTAGTATTATGTACTTACAGTGAGAGGTCTTTAAGAACTAATTTTATTTCAGCATCGTTTGAATGTAACGCTCCAAAGACTTTTACCATTAAAATTTACAATTCAACGTCAATTTATATTCTTAATGTGACTGTTTATTACAATATTTCCATCTTTCTAAATATTGTTTTTGCTTACAGACATGCAGCCAAACGCTGAAAAGAGTCCTTCAAGCCCAAAGGCGAGGCTACCACTTCTCCACCTTACGCCATCAGGGAGCAGTGAGAAAAGGGAATCTACGCCACCACAGAGAATAGACAACCCGTGGTTGCTCAGGGTGCAAGACAATATTCCCAACACGCCTCCACCACGAAGCGACAAACCGAAAGACTTCTTCCCCCACAGAATTGGATAGACGCGAAAACCAATACTTCAAAAATGGACAAAGCTGACAATATGGCAAACTGCCATGTAAGAGATGATTTTTTATAGAAGTTATACAAAAATATCATCGTTGCGTTAATTTATCGAATGTCAGATGTACCAGGAAGCTTACGCCAGTCACTGGAAGAAATGCTAGATAGAGTAATAAAGAGAATTTATGGTTATAGTGATCACGTTTTGTGAAGTGCGTTCGTAAAATCGAGAATGAAAACTCTTTGTTTTAAGTAGATAGCCTTGTTCAATAATATTAGCAAATATTTACTTCTATCTTTATAGTTAACTCTTGTTGAAAATTTTTCTTTGGCAGCTGTGATTAGTGATAAGAAATTAGTTGAATATTGTAATGTTATTAAGAATCTCATTAAAAAGGATAAGTAAAACCTTGATCTTTATATTTATTTAAGATATTGAGATTTATATATTTTTTAAATAATAGACGAGGACAGACAGACTAATGGTTCACTTGATGGTAGGTGATATACCCCAACCATTGGACAAGCAAGATGCGCAGTCAATCTATTTTAGCTTTTGATATTCGGAAATCCACAGACTGACATCGAAACGAGGTTAAGTTTCACGGCTTTTTAATCTCCGGACGGTGGTTTGTGGCCTGGACGAAATTTCTATATTCCTATCACCCTTTTAATATCCAGATTTCGAGACGAAGTGCAAATGTTTCAGAGACATTTATAAATTGAAAAAATAGAGACCTGGTGAGGATCGAACCCACGGCCCGTTGAATATTACTCATACATTACTATTATGAGAGCCCATCAACAACTATTAGACGAAATGATAAGTTATTGTTCATCAGGAGTAAAATATGTTTTAATAACTATGCAAGAGTGAAATTGATACGGGAATCACAACCCTCTCTATTACGAATCCTGACAAGTTCCTTGATACCTAGATTTTGCTTATATAGGGGTTGAGCTGACCCAAGTAATACGAGCGTAGTATTTTTCACTTCAAAAATATCTGCTACAGATAACAAAATAATGTCCGTGTACTAACTATTAACATAAAATCACCAAACATTTTCAGACAGGTCATTCGCCCCGATTCAAGAACATTGGCTTTTAACCTATTTTTTATATGTCATACCAATTAGGTGTATTTTAAGTCTGGGTGCTTTGGAGTCGTACAAACGTGTGCCCAGGGCTCCCTCAAAGCACCGTAGAGGGCTGGTGTTATGTTTAGTGGGTCTGGTCGGCTAATACGATAAATTACGTACACTCGCCATTCACTATTCCCAGTAGAAGTGGTATTTAAATAGATAAAATGATATTTTGAAAGATCATCGGACAACAGGAAGGTTAGAACAAATGTCTATACCACTTGATGAAGAAAGTAATAGTCCGAAAACGTGAATCATACCGTGACTAAGAAATGGTAAAATGGATGTACTTGACAAAGCGAAGAACCATATCGTTATAAAAGTTCGATCGTGAGTCACAATATTTATATGTACATGGAAATAATAGGGGATTTTAAAATTAGAATAATTGCATTTGAATGCATTGATACTGACATAGATCACGACAAGGTTGTTTGTAGATAAATCATTTAAAGTACTAGAAAGTTCTCGTGAAGTGTGGAATTTATAACACACTAATTGGAGTATAAATGTTGACTCATATCCAAAGTAAACGTCCTCGAAATTACACAGCGATATAATCTATACTAATACATAAAGTTTGTTTGTTTGTTTATCGCTAATCTCAGAAACGACTGCCTCGATTTGAAAATCTCTTTATTCTATGTGTTGGTTAGAAAATTTATCGAGAATGGCAATCGCATTTTTTTATATAAGATATAAAAAATTGCGCTGTGACTAGGAGCGAAGAAACAGCGGGAAATGTGAAAAAAAAACGGGAAAAATATTTATCTCTATGGGTTACCGATGCGTACGTTGCGAAAACGGTTCAACATACCCAAAAAAAATTGTATAAAATAATGATTCCTCTTTAAATAAAAAAAAAATATCCGCGACACTATGCGACAACTTGCAAGAACGACGGGACGGGACCGACGGTTCGAAAGCGACGGGACGCGACCGATGTCGTGGGTAACAGCTTACATTTATAGAAATGAGGAGATTTGAAGACCAACTGACGCTAAAGCTGCCACAGCTAGTAGAGAATATTTTTGGAAATTAATAGATACAATTTACACGACGAAACAATTCAAATACTGCTAGTTACTAAGGCAAATATCATCATCAATATTCCACTGGAGAACACTATCCGTAATTATAAGTACACAGATTTCAAATAATGTTGGCTTCTTGCGTCTGCGTCACGCGTTATCTTGTAAAGAGGAATATGGGCACGACGGCCGGTGTCTTTCCATTTATATTTCCGATTATCGTCCTGATAAATGTCATGTGATTGTCTTAACGGACGCTAATTGACAGATTATCGAGATAAGATGTGAAAAAAATTGACTGTGTGAGCAGGAGTTCCGGTTTAAATCTACACCAGACCAGCTGTGTATAAAATTGAATATTTTGGTTAAAGCCATTGATAAAAAAACATCTTTCTCTATTCTCTATAATACTTGGGAAAATTGTTTTTTCAATATCGATGTGAAACACAAAGGATTTATATTTTTAATAGTTATATTATAAGAAACGTTACGGACAGTCTATTCAATCTAAGTAATTTATAATGACATTTTTTTAATCAATATTTCTTATATTATTATTTTTTATATCGATGTAAAACCATAGAGGATTTATATTTTTTATATATATGAGATGTTACCGACAGTATATACCGACTTCCTCGATATATGGATTGCTTTTCTCCTATTTAATGAAAACCACAGTGCACATTGCTAACTAAAATGTAAAATATAGTTATAGACTATACTAAGATGGAACCGATGTTTGACTAATTACATTTCATACGTTGCACAGTGGTATTGAACGTGTCCACTAGAATGTTTGGAAAGCATAGGCTGTGCTCTATATAGAAACTGAGGGACTTACCCGAGATGCCGCAAAAGACTAACACTTTTATAATAGGGAAAATTCGGAAGCGAACGGGTAACGTCCTCCACCACAAAAGCCGGCAGAGCCTGGTTTGCTGCGTATGGTACGGCCTCTATCGGCGACTGAAGTGTACGAAGAGCATAGAAAGATATAGACAAGGCATTTTCTTTTTTAATGATAGAGTAGGACAGACGAGCACGGGGTTCACCTGATGGGAGGTGAAACACTCCATATAACATCTACACAGGTTGTGATGTCGACCTATTTCGGCTTTGGATTTCAAAGTAACGGCTTAAGATACGATATTAGATTGTACCTTTTTTTTATATAAAAATATCATGTTTTGTGTCATAAATATCTGAAACCAAATATGCTGTAGAATGTAGTAGTAAGTTTAATAGATAACCTTGACTTATTACAAGAAGGCTTGTTTATAAATAAAACATTAAACACTTTAAAACGCGAATTAATATCATAGTATATTTCGTGTTTTAAGCCGTTAAGAAAATATTAAGCCCCTTCCCCTTAACGGATACAGCAACGATCTAAAATATATGATTTAAAGTCAAGAATGACTTGTTACATTCTTCTTTGATAAGAGAACTCTGGAATGTGTTTACTTTAAATCTAGTGACGTTATAGCGCTATATTTAATGTGCTCATGATGCTATTTAATACAAATAAGCAAAGCATTTACTTCTTATATTAACGATTATTAATATAACACGTAATATTATATTTATGGAAATTATTTCGAATTTCGAACTGTAGTTTATTTTTCACATACTAAAAGCAAGGTTTATAAGAAAGAGATTTTACTCTCACTGTGATTTATAAAATTATTAATACTATTATAAAATCAATGTTTAAAACTACAAACAAATATTGTCATTGAGAATACACATACATCTCGGAACGCACAAAAATAAATTAGTAACTTTAATCAAACCTAAGTTAATGTATTTAGCAGACATTAAAGTGCGTTATGCCATAAATCGTTAAGTTTACTCCTTGATAATATGTTATTACTAAAGAATAACTCCCGACTAAAAATGTAATCATATAGTTCTCGACTTATGTATGATTGAACTATAATTGCTCCAAAGCACTTTCTTTCTTTTTTCCTTACATTTAAATCCCAATAATAATAATTTATTGGTATGTCTAAAGTTTTGTAGCACTAGTGTAGGGTGCGTCCTGCGCCCTGAAATGGTTGCGCGCGCACTTGATTTAGGAGTATCCCAGTTAAGATATTGTATAGTACATTTGCAAATAGTAAAAAATCATTTGCTCACTTAACCAAAAGGACTGGAGGGTACTAAGTACACAACTAGAACTGTTATTACATTTGCTTCTCATATAATTATGTATAATGGTTAAAATAGGCATTATTATGTAATTATTGTTAAGTTATACTTAGATCAATATAGCAACAACTTAATATAATTGTAATTTAAATATATATTTTTATTCATGTAACTATTTCTAATAAGGTAATTCAAACTGCATACCGACTGTAATCCTATAATTATGTATTTCACTTACAATATAGGTACGGTTGTATAAAGGCACCAGTTACCTGAAACAAACAATAAAAAATTCATGAATGTACGTATCTGAAAAAAGAATTGTATAGATTCAGCGTAGCAAGCAGATACGGCCTAAGAATTTGATATATGTAGTAATAATATTGAGTATCCTACCTAACATTTAGGATACAAACTTTATACGTCACTAATTTACCCAAATTAGTGACGCATAAAAGCTAAAAGTAAATAAGACCCATTTTTGGGTAATACACATTCGACATTTAGGTAATCACGCTCAAAGGTATGAGACGCGAAATATATTGAATAATTTATTTTTTAATAATGACCCGACGTTTCGAGTGCTATACAACAGCCGTGCTGCATTGTTTCGTGTTATTAAATGCTTAAATTATTCTTAAAAAAATTAACGAGGGGAATAACTTAGCA